CGAAGTTGGAGGGGAAAAAACGACACACGAAGTCCACAACAAGAGCCAACCTACACATTGTAGTATAAAATGGCTATACGACCTCGAGTTTTCAAGGAGACGTCTAACCACCACCACGCGGCAACACAGTAATATATATATATATATATATATATATATATATATATATATATATAGTCAACGCCAAACAAAGTGGCGTGCACGTCATCACGATAAAAATTCCCCGACCTAATGCCTAGGTTTCTATCACAAACAATTGCTCTATTGCAGTTTCATATTAATGTGATATATAAATTGTAAAATGGTCATTACTCTCTTATTATGGTTAATAGTCATATAAACATTGTTATTAAAATATCACATAAGTTGCTTTCTGATAAATTTAGACGCATTATGCGAAATAAAATGTTTTGCAAACGCTCCAATCACTTATCGACATGTAAACGCACTAAACCGATTTCGCAGCGTTGACACATTGTCACCTTGAAACTTATTTAAACTGGGAACTGACATTTGTATTAATTTTGACACTGAATCAATTTGTGGCATTTCAAATCTTTATAAATCCTTTGGCCCCGCATACTGTAAATCAACAACTGTTTGTTTCAAAACAAAATTATTCATTTTACGAGTAGATAAAGGCAATTTTGGTATATAAAGATGCCCAAACAGTTAAATAGTCGGTGTAAGGAACTCGTGGCCTCGTTAATGCACTACTTTGAGCAAGAAAGGGACAACAACGGGCCTTTGTTGCCTTTAAATGCTGTTCAAGAGGTAGGTTACTAATAATTATATGTAATGTATATTAATAATAGTGAAATTTTATTTCATTTTTTGTAGCGTGTTGCTGCTGCTTTAAAAATTAGTTTAAGGACAGTTAGTCGTATTTCCGAGGGTGTGAAAAGTGATGCAAATTTAGAATCGCCCAAGAAAAAGCGGAGTTATATTAAACGTGTAACCAACACAGCGACATTGGATACAAGTGCCATTCGAGAAGTGATCTATAATATGTATCACAAAAGTAAGATCTTATTATAATAACTTATCAGAAATTTGCATTAATTTGTTAACTAAATTATAATGTCATATTACACATGGTTTCAGAAGAACAAGTTACGATACAAACTTTATGGTCTCGATTAAGAGATAGGGCATTATTTGATGGTAGTGCCACGTCTTTAAGGCGGTTGCTTAGAGATCTTGGATTTAAGTGGCTTAAGGACAATCCGCGACGAGGGCTCATGGAACTACCAAGTATAGCTTTGAAAAGGGTGGAATTTCTAAGGCAATACAATCAAGCCAAGGTTGAGGCCTTATACCAGTTTGTCTTCCTCGATGAAACTTGGATATTTCAAAATGGGACCATAGGTCGCTCTTGGCAAAATGGAAACCAAAAAAGCGTGAAAGCTATTAAAACAGATGGTAAAAGGTATGTACTTTTACACAATTTGCACTATAAAATTTAAAACTAATATATTTTAGATACATTATATTACATGCTGGAAATGAAAATGGGTTTATTGAGGGTAGTGAAGCGATATTTTCTTCGAAAACAAAATTGAGCGATTACCATGGAGAGATGAATCAGGACAATTTTTTGAAATGGTTTCAACATCAGTTATTAGAAAAATTGGAGAGTCCATCTATGATTATACTGGATAACGCCCCTTATCACAGCATGATATTGAACAAAGTGCCCAACAATGCATGGACAAAAAAAAATATCCAAGACTGGTTGACAAATCAAAACATACCATTTTTAAACACAATGTTTAAAACAGAGCTATTGAGTATTGTTGCTCGGTACATAATGCTTCTTCATTATATATATTTTGGTCGACAGTTTATATTTCTTTTGTTTATTCCTATTCTTAAAATAACTGCTTTTTTAGAAACAAACCACCTAAAATATACGTGATTGATGAATTGGCGGAACAACATGGGCACAAAGTTCTTCGTCTGCCTCCTTACCATTGTATATTTAACCCTATTGAGTTAATTTGGGGCATAGCAAAAGGTTACTATAACAGACATATTGGTAGAGATGGTAACAGTGAAAAAGACTGTTTGGATATGTGGAACGAGGCTCTACAAACGGTTAGCCCAGACATGTGGAAAAATAGTGTTCGACATACTGAGCAAGAAATTTTTAAATGGTATGAAGGAGAACGAATTTTTGATCGACCAGACATCGAACCTTTAATAATCAACTTTGAGAGTGATGAAGATTCAGATTCAGACAGCGCTGAAGAAAGAAACTCCGACTAACTTTATTGTACAGAAAAAGCTTACACCAGTAGCTTACCTAATTTTAGAATGCATTTTTCTGTATGAATTCTGTAAAATAAATACCATGCATAAAATTTGGAGGACCCCATTTGGATTTTTATTCAGTACCTTTAAGCTATCAATTAAATATGGTAGTTTCATAGTGTCATCTGATCAATAATTGTCATACTTAATGATTATGCAAGTACACATCTATAATTTTATTATACTATTATTTTTGTTCTCATTTGAGGTTAATATTGCTTATAAAGCTAGATATGTAAATAATAAATTTTATTATTGTACAAAAAGTTTGGCAACAATGTAAATTTTTCAACACACCCACCTTGATGACGTGCACGCCACTTTGTTTGGCGTTGACTATATTACTGTGTTGCTCTGCCGCAACCGTCGATCCGCTCTCTGTGATTGATCGGGCCAGACTGTCCCCTTGCTTTCCTTGGCCCTTCACCCTTCACCTTCATTACCATCGCTGGAACTTGTACCCGCCGGTACCCGGCACAAGGAGATCGCCTGAGGGCGGACTACAGGTTGCGCTACTGGTTACATACAGATAGGTTCTGGTCACACAGTGGTGCCATCGGACGGTGAAGCTAAGTACTTGTCGCACCAGAAGAATATCGTTCTCTACGTTTCGAGCATGAAAACTACAGAATACGTCCCAGGTGTTACATTAACGTATCCAACTGTTTTTATTTAAATCTACTCTTCCTTTAAAGCCCCAATTCATCTTGAAGCTAATCTAGAAGCCGATTTGAAGCCCAGAAATGTTTCACCAGACCTTGCTTGCAAGATTATCTGCCTGGTATCCATCCGTGCCCTGGCACCTACACCAGTGAGACCTAGTGCTGGAAAACAGGTCAACTTGTAAGCATCAACGTCATGGAAACCGAAATAGATCTAATGCGCCCCCATGTACACTGCCAGGCACTGTATCCAGCCTTGATCCTGTGAAGTAGGCTTCATAGCCTTGGCACTATGCCTTGCATGTAGCTTTCCGCTGTTGGATTTGTGATTTCTAATATCGGAAACCTTAGCCATACCAGGCTTTTGCAGAAATCCAAGAGAAGCACCGGGATTTCCACATGTTCAATGATAGTTTGTTGGTGTTGAATGCACTTGTAGTGCTTACACAAGGTTTCTGTATGTAAAAAAAATTACATACGTTGGGATGACAAAAAACTGCAACAGTTATAAGTAATTTGTGCTACTTGCGTCTTCGCACACGTCAAAGACAACAAAGATTTTATTAAGACATGAATAAATTAAGTGAAATTCTATTATGAATAAAGAACTATAAAATTACTGACCAAGTATTCTTCAAAACTATAGAAACCATTTTCTGTACGGTACGTCTTTATCTTTGATTTGAAATTACTATCCCGTAACTGACATACAGACTGTGGAAGAGCGTTGAAATATTTTGGCCCATATCTAGGTTTATGTAGTCAGTTTTGTGACAGTACAAGATTAGCCCGCGTATAGTGGTTATGAATAGCCTAATGCGAAGAATAACTGATTAAGTTATGTTTAACATGCATTAAGCATACTGAAATATAGTGGCAGGTCAATGAAGTTATTTTTTGTTGATGAATGTTAACTTGCGTGGTTCAGTATAATGCAAGCCATACATGTATCTGATGCATTTTCTTTGTATTCCAAATAATGATGAGAATAGATTGGGTTTTTTGTTCGCAGTAAACTAACTAATTGTCAGATTTCCGTTATAACATACATTGTATTAACAAGTCTGAGAAGTATCTATTGAACATTGTTGCATCATCTGAAAATAAAATAAAATTTTTCGATTGATCACGGCTTGGCAGATCATTAATATACAGTGAAAACCAAATTTGTGTCTGCTTGAGCTTAATGTGTACGAGAGAGAAGTCCGATCAGTGTGTATATTAGAAAGAGTCAGAAGCTGGCTGGTCAGCGAAGGTCATTACCACAATGCCTAGCGATGGTGACGCAGAAGGTCATGCAATCTGCCGCGTTGCCAATATGTTACACCATAAAATGTTCGCACAATAGGTTAGGTTACTGTCAAGCCCCAGAAGGTGGTCTGTTTGAACATTTAATATTTTGTTTTCATTTTGATCAGAATTATTTATTTATTTCAATTTTCATGCATGTTGTCAAGTTTAAGCATACCTACGCCGATGATATTCAGCTATATTTTAGTGTTCACATCGATACTGGTATCAAATGATGTATCGAAAATTGAAAACATCGTTCTTTTCGATACATCGATATTTTCAAAAAAATCGATGTATCGAATCAGCGAATTTTGCTAGTTTTGATTAGTAAAGTAAATAATCATAATTCAAATCATTTTTGGAAAAACTAGTCACTAAATATTAAAGTAAAAAGTCTATTATAAAGGAGACTCAGTTTATTTAAAAATATACTTTTGGAATATAGTTATACATTAGATTACAGATTACTCTAAACATATAATCCTAAATCCATATAGAAAATGAACTGCAACATAAAATAAAAACAAATTAATTTACACATTCCAAAACTTCTTATTAACACTATTTAAAAATAGTAACTTTGAAAGTCTTTTTCCTTTCAGACGATTTCTCGTTTGTGTCAGTGTTTGCCCTGCCTTAGAGAAAAGACGTTCAGAAGGTACGGAGGTTGCCACAATCGATAAGTATTTCTGGGCCAATTTTGCTAAGATGGGATGTGTTCCAGACATTGCTTTCCAACTAGACAGCGGGTTATCAGAAAAATTGGAAATTGGACTCCTTAAGTATTGAGTGACTTCTGATGTAATATCTGTAGAATATTCATCTAATTGTTTCGATTTCGTTCGTTCAACAATTGTATGGTGACCGCTCCACAAATCAAATTCTTGTGAACTGCCTGAAAAAATAAAAATAGATGCAAAAATTAGCTTTGATTTTATTGAAAAATATCAGTTTTACCTGGATTTGCATCTACATTGTCAATTCCGTCAACATCGCCAACGTAAGGTTCTCCAGCTTTCTGTAACTTAAGTTCTTCTTTGTAAAGGCATTGTAATAAATTAACAGCATTTGCGCAAGCTAATGGGTTCTTAAAATGAAGTCTTTTGAAACGTGGATCCAGTAATGTGGACACTGCTAGTATCTCTACGTTTTCAATATCTCCAAATCTCTTTTCCATCTGTTTAAGCAAACTTTTTTTTAATTCTTTACCAATCTCTAAAACAGCTGACGTTTCATTAATTTTACCGAGAAGGCAGTGTACCATTGGGATAACTTTGCTGCTGGTTACATAATGTTCCCCACATAATTCTCTAGTTGCCGCTTCCAAGGGTCGCAACAAGTGCTTAATCTCTTCTAGTTCTTCAGCTTCTTTTGCACTGATCATATTTGGTGCTGATCTATGTCGATTAATAATTTCATTTATGGTTGGTCTTAGTTCCAAAAAACGCTCTATCATAAAGTACTTAGAATTCCACCTAGTATTAACTTCTTGAATTAGTTTTGTTTCAGTACCAGTTGCTTTTCTTAGTTCGTCGCTAGCCACTACGCTTGCTTTAAACCAGGTAACAATCGTTTTTAATTTTGATATCAGAGTAGACAAGTTAGCAACGTCACTAACAGATTTTTCAGCAACCAAATTAATTAAATGTACAAAACAGGGAATACTATATTTTTTTCCAAACCCCAACTTCACTGCTTTTAATATGTTGGCACCGCTGTCAGTTACGATTACTGAAATATTTTCTTTTTTTATATTCCACATTCTGCAGATGTTTACTAATTCATCAGCTAAATATTGTCCCGTATGTCGTTCTTGAAGCTCGATTACACCCAAAGTACTTGATACTAGTTCTGTTTCATTATCAGAGCAATAGTGTACTGTAAGGCCTAAAAAGCTTCGCGTCTGCATCGTATCAGTCCACACGTCCGTGGTTAGTGTAATATTCTTTGTTTTACTCAACTTTTCACGAACATTCGCAGCTACACAATCATATTTGAGGTCCAAAAGTCGAGTAAAGCTAGTTCTATTTGGTACTTTAAATTGAGGAACAGTTACCTTCATCAAATTCAGGAAGCCTTCATTTTCAACAAAAGAAAATGGTTGTAAATCTTTACATATCATATATAAAATCGATTCCTTTATTTGACGATTTTTATTGCCACCTTCTGAAAACGATGGTATATACTCAAACGAATCTGTCATGGTTTTTTGACCCTTTGAGGCAACTGTGAAAGATGAAGATGAACTTTGTTCTGAACTTACTGGCGAAGGAAATCGAGATCTTGCTCTGGATGGCCCTGGTAATACATCGTCATCGTAGTAATTGCTTTTGGAGGCAGTACCTGTACCTGCACGTTCTTTTTTAGAGTCCACTGGCTTAGTTGGATTAATATTTTTATGCAGGCGATCAAGATGCAGCAATAAATTCGTAGTATTTCCAGAAGTTTTTAGAATTTTAGAACAGTAACGGCAAGTGGCAGTATTTGCTGAATTTTTTGAGAAATGTCGCCAAACGTTGCTTTTTGAAGGTGCCATTTTGAGTTTAAAAAAAGATAAAAATGTTTTTTGTTTTATACGATGCTTATTTTGATTAATAATAAGTTTGCGACAAGCGTTCGCAACATGATTCAAATTTGTAAAGACAAATAAGTACTTACTTGTAGAGTATGTAATTATTAGTTATTTCAATGTAGAACAGACACAAATACGAACATTGAACAGCACCGTTCGAAAATAACGTTACATTAGCTCCTTCAAAACAACACTAAAAAACTGGTTACAAGTCGGCACAATTCTGCAGTGTTGGTTAAAAAAATGGGATTCCCCGAACGCAGGGCATCAAAGCATTGTTGCCAATGTTCCTTTTTTTTGTTAGATATAGTGAAGCGATTCGATACATCTATAGGCAGTACTTCGATACATTCGATACATCGGAACAAAAATATCGATGCAAAATCATCGAAAATCGAAACAAAAATATCGATACTTTCGATACATCGATACATCGTGGGCATCCCTATTTCACAGTCACATAATTTACAAGTGAATTCAACTAAATCTTATGTTTTATTTTTTGGTTCAAAGCCTACCACTTCCCCTACCGTCTTTTGTTGGCGGATTGCGTATCTAAAAGGTCCAGAATAGCTGCTGCAGGTTAGTGTATAGGATAAGGAAATATGATCACAATTCACATGAAATCAAGGAGTGTAAATATGGAAAATAGAAGATATCTTCATTTAAACACATTTACTCATAAACTTTTGTGATTCTCTATGAGCTAATTTTTCAAGCTGGTATTCAGCTCACTCTATGAACATTAGAGGTAAATTAGCTTTCACTATGCCTCAACATCGAACTGCTTTGCTGCCAGAAGAGCTTAGATTATTAAATGTCAATAAATTTAAATATAAATTGGAAAAACAGTTACTCGATGGACAGTGGAAATTGTGACACGGCTTTAGCATTCATTATTATATTCTACTTTTATTCAGTTATATTGAATCTACTCCTTTAACCAGACTATTCACATATCTATGTATATTCCATTGCTTGCTGACTGTTTGTGTAATATTTATCTTCTATCGTGAATTCAGCTTATTAATCATTTATGTACCAGCTCCCAGGGAAAAACAATATTTTTTTCAGTTCCCCTTATAGTTTTCATAGGTACATCGTGGTACATCCCATGTGCTATAATTGAAACCTATTTAACCGTCTAGAGACCGCGACAAAATATTTACATAGTAAGCAGTAGAATAGAGCGTGTGTGCTTCACATGTATTTCCGCCTTATACTTCCTTCCCTTTCCTTTGGACTGTTCCCGTTCCCCGTATATGTCGCTAAGACGATACTTATTACTCAGCACAAAGCTTGAAGAGGAGAGTGAGTCGGTGATTCCTTTCTGGCACCACAAGTGGCTCCTTTGTTGTTGAGTAAACCGCGACGGAGAGCCAGGCGAAGCCGAGGCCGCCACGTTGGCGAATTTTCCCTTTTAATTATTTTCTCGCTAGGCTTTGTTTTCGCTGATGCCGTGTGGGTTTTTCACGATGCTGGAGTGCCCATTATTTAACCGGGTTTTTGTTACGTGACGACAGCCCGGGGTTAATTAGTCATATGTTTTCGTCCATCGGAATTGGGGCAACTAATCTGACTGGCCTCAAGCATAACCTTTATTTAGTAGACAACATGAGATACTTGTACCTGCAGGCCTAGTTTTAAAACTAGTGGATGTGCTCTTCGCTCAACACCGAGCCTGTTATTAAAAATGGTAGCTTGACTCTGCACTTTCCACGCAACGCCCTTATCAGTACATACAGGAATATGCATGCATCTACGAGCCCCTTCCCACTTCAGTTGACCCAACTATTGAAATCTTAGTTTTTTTCTTATCAAACACAAATAATAAAAATGCAGCAGGGTGTTATAGGTTTAAAATATTAAAAATGAATATTTTGATAATATATAGTAGAAACCACCAATTTTATTACGCCCTAAGCCACGATATGAGAAAAAAGTAATATCACAAATGCCGACCGAAGAGCATTAAGAAGAATAATAGTAAAAAACAGGCGTGCCAATTATTTACAATCAAGTGCTCTGTGGAGTGACGCTGTTGGAAGGAGAATTTCGAGGTCCACAACTTATAGAGAGGCCCACAAACTCAGATTTAGCACTAGCAAGGTAAGTTTTCTTATAAAAAAAAGTGAAGTAAAAATCCTAAAGTTGTACAACTTACTTATAGGCCAAAGAAAAGCCACTATTAACTCCACTGCAAAAGAAAAATCGGCTTAGATGGGCTAAAGAACATAGACAATGGACACATCAACGATGGTGTGCAATACAATGGAGTGATGAGGCCCGATTCGAAGTTTGTGTTGGTGACAGTCGCAGTAGAGTTTTTCCAAAAAAAAATGAAGCATTCCATGTTGACTCTCTGAAGAGAAAAGTAAAATTTCCAGCATCCATTATGGTCTGGGACAGTATGTCATCAAAAGGAGTAGGAAAACTTCATTTTATTGATGGAAATGTGGATATAAACAAATATTTGGCAATTTTAGAAGAATCGCTTTTACCAGTGATGGATGAATGATTGACATCCGGCCAAGATCTTGTGCTTCAGCAAGATGTCATACCTCAAAAAAGGCTATAAAATGGATGGAAGAAAATAATGTACCACTTTTGAAATGGGTTTCTAGAAGTCCAGATCTGACACCTATTGAAACTTTGTGGCACGAGATGAAAAAGGTTCTACAACATCCTGCTCGTACAATCACCGAACTGATACAAAAGCTGCAAGAAATGTGGGATTCTTTTAAACCAAATTTTTGCCAAAACTTCATTAACACTATGCCCCAATGAATTTCAGCCGTAATAAAAAATAAAGGTGATGTTACCCAATGGTAATCTTTCAATTATTGCTTTGTTAACTTCGCGCATTTATTCGCACATTGTTTATTTGTTCAGATGTTCTATTAGTTATAGGTCTAGGTAATTTCAAATATGTATTTTTTACGCCTATAGTGTATCTAAAATGTTTCTGAGAAAATAAATTGTTTTAGAAGTAAATAGTTTCGTCATGTTTAGTTTATAAAGGCATATTTTTGTACAGATCTTGAAGTGGGCCAACTGAAGTGGGCAGGGGCTCGTAGAAACGTCCCCCCTCCCCGATACCTAACTAGAGCAGACTTGGCGCCGTGGTACCGCGGTCAGAGCACAGAAAACACTATCCTGTTGCGCGGCTGAAATCCGTGTGAATCTAGACCAGAACACTCATCAGAGAATATTTTCTTGGATTTTCAGGGCTTGTGTGCGGATAAACCTATGGTGTGTGAAATACTACCAATTCATTTCTTGGTTTGTGTTAAATACACAAGCGAGTTTACGCAAGTCAAAACAAAGAAAATAAAAAATAGAGAAAACATTCGGAATAATTACTGATGTCAAATTGTACAGAATATATATCAGCCCATGATACGATACATTATCATTCAATGAAAACGCAGACATAACAGTCATACAAGTTGTGAAGACACATAATATAATGGTATACAAGTTCACCGGAATACTTGAGCAGAACGTTGAAGGGGTTAGAAGGGCCCAGGTATAGGACACTATTCGCTAACATTTCAACAAGTCTGAAATACTCGTTGATCGAATAAAATGCTTCATTAGTCAGGTAAGGTTAACTTTTTGTTTAAAAGCTCTGGCAGCAGGTTATATAATAGCTTGAGCCGTTCCTTATGGTTTGAAGGCGGCTATGAGGTATTACGATCTTATTCCATATTTCTGGTTCCATAACTGAGGATATCACTGTGTGTCGTACCTGTTCTGACTCAGGTTCGTTTTTATATACGCGAGACGTGCAAAGATTTAAAGAGAAGGTACTGTCATGGTTTTCAAATCTATGAAAGCTTCTTTGAAAGGTAGTAGTAATATACCGCTAGCAACATCGTTGTAATGCAAAAACTTTTGATGAATGCTGGGAGCGTATAACTGTATTAGCATCAAAAAATCGAAGTAAACCGTCTCCACCCCCTTATAACTCCTACCCCCAAATTGTACCTCTACATTTTTTTTCAAAATGTTCGGGATCCTCTAGAACGTCATAAACCGAAGTTTGAGCGATTTTCACTCTTTTAGTTTTAGGCCAGTGGGTGTGGGAAGTAAAATGACGTATGCGGTCTAATTGAAAAATTGTCGCCCGTGAAGTGACCTTTGGATACTGAAATCTCAGAATAAACTCAAGTTCAGACTCGACCAAAACTTATAGACGCGTTAAAGTTTATGCCCTACTGAGCGGGGCCATGGCAAATGCTTGTTCCGCAAGTTGTAGTCAAGATACAACTTCTTTCCGTTCAAATGAAGTTGCCAAGAACTGTCTCTGGATATTATTTTGCTTTGTTTCAAGGTCCACGAATACTATTAACCCCGGCTTCATTAAAAATATCTGCGAATAACACTCATATGAAGAGTGAGGACAAAAATGAGTTCTACCAACGGTGTTCGTGAAGACAACAATACGCAGATCAGACCTATTACATCAAATGAAGCTCTCTTTATTATGGATCTCTGATCAGATATTCAAAATTTTCCAACATACGACACAACCTCGCGGCAGATATTCTCCAATTATTACGCCGTAAAGAGGTAATATCGAATGGTACATCACAAACTGTAAGTTTGATAGTGTGCCATGGTGAAGCTGTGCTTCCATGGCCAACTATTGCCTTTGAAAGAGGCACTGAATCTAATTTATTTTCTATATTAAATTTTTTCCTTTTGTTCTCAGGTCTTAGGGCATAAATGGACCACTACTATGGGACGTTAGATGACAAACAGTTCTCCCTAGCTCTAAAAAGATAACTCAGATTCTTACC